AAAAGCGCCACATGTTGAACTGATAAATATAAAGTATTTTATGAATCAATAATTATAGTAATAGTTTTCAATGAGAATAACTTTCTATTTAATCAAATTATTATAAAATTGAAATATAAAACAAATCAGAATAGATATAATTAAGAATTTAAACAACTAGTTATAAAAAAAAAACCCCTGATTATTGTTTTCAATAGTAATAGAATTAATCGAGAATATTATAATTCTATTAGGAATTTCAATAGAAACGTAGTAATATATAATATAGACATGTAGTTGACAAAAGTTTAATAATCTATATTATAATCTATTTAATAAATTTAATATAGAATCGAGAATCAAGATTCAATGTGTTAAAATTCTTACATACAAATAATAAAGTTAAAATAGTCGACCTTCGGAATCAACATATTGATTAATAAAAAGTTTAAGTATATTTTCTCGAATGGTTTTTAAAGATTGTAATATAATAATTAATCTATTACAATTATATAGATGGTTTTTTTTATAAAATCGATTGTATAATAAAGAATAAAATAATAATAACAAATAATCATTATCTCTTATATCATGATTTTTAATTATCAAGAATTTTCGATGAGTAAATTAATGAAAGCAACTATAATAGTAATTATTGATTCATAAAATACTTTATATTTATCAGTTCAACATGTGGCGCTTTTAAAATGATTGTTTTTTACTGTGCCCGCCCGAACCGCTACTAAGGATTAATGATAAACTAATGAAGAACAATGCACCCTCTTTTTGGCCATCGTTCGAACCAATCAATTCAAACTCGGATGCAAAGTCCTATTATATCTGACATTATTAAAAATATGCTTCGTAATGTTTGTTTGCATTTATACAATTGCACACCAGCCATATAAAGTCATGTGATCATATGCGTAATGGGAGACAAAGAATTCACTAATTGTTTTAAGTGGAAACTAGACTAAAATAGGGGGGAATTCACTTTTCATTCATGCATAAGAATGTTTCGTATAATGGCATGAGGCATCGAAATAATCACGTCTAACGATTCGGTACATGCGATGATAAAAACAGTTGTCAAACCAATTAGAGACGCGTAGGTGATCCGTTGGCATTTTAAGATAAAAACTTGATTTCTTTGAAACAATCTTGAATTTTTCGTGTTTCTCACTGGAATCATTCATTATATTATAGAAGACCCATATTACGTGTGAAAATATTCTCCTCGAATCCGAATCTCTCAACTAAAAAAAAAAAAAGAAAAAGAAAAAAAAGCTATTGATTTAACATGCAGGATTCAAAGGTTGGTTGAAGCAAAAATGGAGTAAATTATCGCGATTTCTTTTCTTCTCTTGGAGAGTAACATTCGAAGCCATGTGTTTCGAAATTAGTTGTCCACTTTGCGTCGAGCAACCGATGCACCGGATTTGCCTCAAAGGTCTTATAAAGTCTACCCAAATTCTGGAACAAATCATTATTGTAAACGTTCACGACGTTTTGTGCAAACGAACTCGACGAATTTTAACGATAATGTTCAGTGTAAAGAATCAAATTTGAAAGTTTCCGATTGGTTACCGCTGCAGTATGATCATCCTTTCAATGGTGGAGACGTTGAAGTTAATGGCAACGAACATATTGGTAACGAAGATATTTCGATGTTTCTTCATGAAGCATTGGAGGCGTGTGATGAGTTCAATTGTAGCCACAGAACGGAGCGAAGAAATTTCGAACAAGAATTAATTTTCAAAATTAACGAAATTCTGAAGACTGAGGAAGGTAGAGCTCTGCATGCCCCGAGAGACATCATATTACGACAGACGGAAGATAGTCGTATATCACGTGAAACGGCACATCCTCATAATGATCTTCCTCAGTCATCGGATTACTCTACGCGGGGCATTAGCCTGTCACATGACGGTGAAGTGGTCATTGACGATGACATTCACAAGAATTCCTGTAGAAACGACGTAAGTCTTTTGACAACTACCCATTCGTGGCATTCCCTCGACTGACCATATTGTGTAATTAGCAGAGGTCCCCAATACCATCCCAAGAAAATTACGGTTCTAATGTGAACAAACGCCATATTGACAATATGTTACATCGAGGTGATTCCTACATGGTCATGAAGGAACAATTCGCGGCGGTATCACTTGAATATTGGGGAGGACATTCGATTGACAGTGTAGAACACACGTTATCGCAATCAGAATGGTTCGGATCCCCGAAATGGCAACAGCCGTTATCAAATCAACAAGATTGGTTCAACAATGGCATCATCCAAAGTCCTGATCAAATGTTATATGACGACTACGCATATGTGTGAAAAAAAAATCAGAAAAGATAATATTTGGTATGAAGCATTTTAATTCGACAATTTAAGACAAGTCAAATCATTTCTGCGAAATAATTGTTTCCGAAATTCTAATCCACTCATCGTGTCTCTTCACCAACTCTGGAACGATCTTTGATTCGATCTCCATCCCATGTGCGATCTCATCATCAGTTAATTTTAATTGAAACTCGGTGTCTTTGGTGATGAAAATTACTTCAGCTTTGCGAGTTTCCAAAAGATTACCGATAACTATTTGATGACCGTAACGAGTGAGGGCATGCCTAGATTTGTCGATCAGAAGATTGGGATCGGTTTCCAGCTGTTTTTGTGGATAAATTGGTATAATATTAGTTTATTTTGGAGGTTGTAAATAAATAAATAAATAAATAAATCATTTTCGATTAATAACCTTGAACGAAACAATAAATCCACGAGGAACCCAATTTGTGACCATCGGTTTCAAGAATTTTGGAACCTGATCCATCCTCAAAGTTAAAGCACCCTCGCCTGATTGGATTTTATGTTGTGCCTGAATTATCCACGCGAAAAAAAAAAAAAAAGAGAAGTTACATGCGAGTTATCAAAAGATTTGACCGGCAGGCAATAGATGGGAAATTGTACCATTTTTTGATCTGGAATAAAAAAATCACTGACGGCAGCGGCAAGATAATATATTGCATGTTCGTTCAAATCGGACATGAGATTGGTGACACCACGAAGAAGAAAAAGATAATCCGTCACCGTGACGAAATCCAGTAATAAAAGTGTCTCGTTCTTTTTCGTCAGTTTATATCTTTCCAGAACGAATCTCACCTCTCGCACATGATCGGGGCTTACTGATCAAGAGAAGTGGTGTGAATTGGTTAATTTGGTCATCAAGTGAATTGACCAAAAAAGAAAAGCCAACAGAACGACCTCCTGCCTTCAATACTTCCGTCATTTTTCAATTCCATAAAGTCCAAAAAACAATTGATGGAATGAATGTAACGCCTGCTGTAAGGCTGCAGACTGAATTGTCTGTGCATGAAGATCACCGCATATCCTGCTTCAAGAAAATATGTATTTCGGATGAAAAATTTTCACATGACGATTATCGGGTGGGATGGATTTGAATTTTAAATAGCCGGGTTAGGGGCAATTTGGAAACAAGAGGGAAAAATCAATTACACAAGGACAAATTTATCCAAAAGGATATTCGGCTGATGCGGCTCCGCGAGTTCCGGCACTAAAGTTGTCTAAAAATCTTACAGTGTTATTTTCCAGCGGAACCGTGGTTCCTCCGCTCTAAGGTGCATGTGACATACTTTAAGAATTTTTTTTTTTTTTTTTTTTTTTTTTTTTTACCAATAAATAATCGTTTCGCTTTTCACTTACGGTCACCAAAACAATTCTCCTGTTGGCTCTGTGCTTTTCTATAAATTCACTGACTCTTGCCTCATCTCGTTTTAAAGCACGCGGTGGTTTATGAGTCTCGAAATAGGTGTCAGGATTAATAACTTCGTTCGTGCCATTGTCCAGCAAACTAGTGGATGACATTCTTATTATTTCTATTGTTTTTGCACGAAGGAATGAACGTGGCCATTTATGTGAAAGATTTCGAGAATCGGTGTGACAGTAGATACGATAAAATTTATCAAATTTATCATATTTTATCTCGAATGCACGTCGATCTAACCTACAATGCGCACATACGTATTCGAAAGGGATGTTCATGTGATGAGCTACGTAATCATATGTTAATTTAATTCTCTCAATCATAGAAATATATATGTCGTTAGCTTCAGCATTAAGAAAGCTACCATTAATATACAAGATTTTCAAGGTTCCTGCACAAATTTAAAATCGAGGAGTACATCATACCCCTCACCTACCCCTTGATCTAATTTTAGACGATAGAATAATAGGAAAGTGGAATCAGATCTTTATAACGTCGAGTCCTCGAGGTACCCGTCGGCCTGCCCTCGTGATCAACCGATTGAAAATGTTTATCCATGAGAAACTGGTCGACATCGTATTGGCTTCGTAAGGTTGCGGCCGTGGGATAGTAGACATCTTCGCCCTCGTATTTCACAAGCACGAATATTTGAACATCTATGAATTTAATCGATACGAATTAGCACAATTGTGTGATCATTTGACGAGAGATTCACACCCATCTTGAAGTCTGGTTTCTAACTGTGGTGATTAACGACTGACTCTACCTTCTTCTTCCACAAATTTACCTTCGATATCAAGAATCTTGATCTCAAATGGTTCGTCCCTCGAGTTTACGCTCGTTATTTCTTCGATATCCATCGTAGGATCAACGATTTTCCCCTTACTATCGACCAGCGTCAGTTCGACCAATGGATGCTGGGATATCTCAGGGCCGTATTTTGTTTGCGCTGCCGCGATGATGGCTTCCGCCGTCTCTGTGAGCGGTACCTTTACAGCGATTACCCTCGGTGTGTTCTTGATGAAAACCCAAAATTTTTTGACCTTTGTTTCAGACATCACTATACCACCTTGCCACGTACCCAATATCCTATTTCTGATTTATTATCGTGGTAATTGTTTTTTTTTTTTTTTAATAAGAGTAGAGAATGAAAAAGAGAATGTATGCAACGTGAGAGAGTGTGTTACCCAATTCTCTCATGTGTTCTTAAATTTCACGTGATTTATCTGTGCGACAAATCTCAAGCACAACTTTATTGGTTAGAATCGACTTGACGCTGCTTCGTCAAGAAGGGTTATTTTTCCCTTACATAAACCAACTAATCAATCATCTCAACTGATTCGAATCACTTGATTATTATTTCAATCTCGTCAGATGACGTTTCTCTTCATGTCACGAGGGGCGTGTTCTTCAAAAAGGATGCTTATCCGAGTGGTAGGGCTAACCGTTTATTCGTGATTCTACCTCGTTTTTCCAGTAAAATGCATTTATTTATAAATTGATTAATGTAACTCAAAGAGAAAAACTTGATGTCCATTGGTTCGGGTTTTTTCCAACAATGCACCTGCTCTTTTATACTATTTATAGTGCTTCATTCGAAATTTAGAGCTCAGCCCCGATTCCTGTGACTATCACTATGATTATTATCGTAACTTCCTATTTAAGAGTTTATCCGGTTGCTAAAATAAAACTCTTTAAGTTTCCTGACTCAATTATCGAGATTTGATCGATCATCCCTCTTACAACAGCAACAACAAAAACATAGTTAAATAATCAATTTATCCTTAACCATCGTCGCAATTCTGACAAATTCCGAAAGTCTTGGTGGAAGGTGCTTCGCGATTGATCTCATTTCGTGCAGTGTATCTTTGTACTCAATCAAATTAATCATTATTTTTTCCTCCCTTTTTTTTTTTTTAGTTTTAGTTTTCAATCTTAAACGTTGCCAATCATCCATTCATATATCCAGAAATGAAAGCAAGGATTAATAAATAAAGAAATCAGCAAACCTGTGCCATTCCACATTGTGGTGTGCACAAATTGAAGAATATATTTACCTTAGAGTGAGTGGGTTGATCGAGTTTGGGACTCTACACTAATCCCTAAAAATAGAAATACAAAAACTGCTCATATTCACTCTCTAATTATACACACAGGCAATCAAGTTACACCTCATTTTGCATATTTTTGATACCGGATGTGCTGTTGCTCTTTTACGTAAACCAATCCTTCTTCACCCCCCTACTTTCCTCCCTTTGTCATTCACTCTCACCTTTAGAAGGAAGGAAGAACCCTAAAAAAAAGAAAAAAAAAAAAAGAGAGAGAGAAGAGAAGAAAAGGAACTCTGCAATTTTTTCTCGCATATTATCAATTATCGCTGTGTATCTCACACTCTAGACTATCATTAAAGCCCAGGTGACATGGGTAAAAAAAAGGCTACATCCTCGTCAGGCGAGGAAAAAGCTGACCTATGTAATATACAAAACATTTCCCAAGACTCAATAACCTCAACCCTTCGCGAACGTTACCAGAGGGACACTGTATACACTCGTTTAAACCATTCCGCTCTCGTAGCTGTGAATCCCTACAAAGTTCTTCCCATTTTTAGCGATTCAACGGTACAGGAATATGCCGCCGACTACAAAGATACCTCGGAACAAAAAAATCAACTACCCCCTCACGCTTTTCAAATCGCCTCTCAGGCTTACCTACACATGCGACGAACGGGAGAAGACCAGTCCATCATCTTGAGGTATGTTGCTAGCATAATAATAATGCAAATGAGAGTTTTATTTTTTATTTTTTATTTTTTCTTCTTTTTATTATTATTTTTTTTTTTTGCTCACCTCTACTCTCCACCACAATAATCCTCCAGCGGGGAGTCCGGCAGCGGAAAATCGGAGACTCGTAAACTTTTGGTCAAACAGTTGGTTACCCTGAGCGCTCACCAGAAGAAAGAATCGAGGGTCCAAACTCAGGTCCCTTGCTCGGAGTTCATCCTCGAATCTTTCGGAAATTCAAGAACAATAATTAATAACAATGCATCTCGATTCGGTAAATACACCGAGCTGCAGTTTAATGAACGTGGAAAATTAATTGGCGCAAAAACTCTCGATTATCTGTTGGATAAGAATCGCGTTGCCAATGTGCCACAAAATGAACGAAACTTTCATGTCTTCTATTACTTGATCGCCGGCGCTTCACAAGAGGAGAAATCTCATCTTCACCTTGTTGACTCTTTTCAATATCGTTACCTCAATGTTCCCAAAGGAACGCGAGGACCGAACGAAGAGGACGTCGAAAAATTCAATGAATTGAAACAGGCCTTGAAATCTTTGGGGTTCCATAAAAAACACGTGGCCCAGACGTTTCAACTTCTGGCCGCCATTCTGCACCTGGGAAATTTACAATTCATGCAAGATCCCAACAATAAATTGAAAGACTCGGCGTTCGTGAAGAATGTGGAAGTTTTGGATTTGGTTTCGGATTTTCTGGGCATCGATGCCAATTCCTTGGAAACCATTCTAACCAATAAAACTAAATTGATCAAGAAGGAATTGTGCACCATATTTCTGGATGTTGAGGGGGCTTCTACTCAGCGTGACGACTTGGCGAAACTGCTCTATTCTTTATTGTTCAGTTGGATCGTCGAGTACATCAATACGAAACTTTGCCACGATAATTTTACTAGCTTCATTGGTTTGGTGGATCTCCTCGGGTTTCAAAATTTGGAAACAAATTCGCTTGATCAGTTCTGTGTCAACTTTGCAAACGAAAAGATGCAGAATTTTGTTCTGCGACAAATTTTCGAGGCTCAGCTGGAAGAATACAAAAATGAGGGTCTTGATGTTCCCGATGTTCCCTTCTTCGACAATACCTCATGTCTTCAGATGATCGCCAAGCCTTCAACAGGCTTGATAGCCATCATGAATGATCAGGTCAATAAGGCCCCGCGCAAGACCGATCAAACTATGTTGGACGCCTTCAACAGGAAATATTCCGAGCACACCTCCTTTAAGCCGACAGGGAAAAGCTTGAATTCACTTCCCACTTTTGGAATTCAACACTTTTTTGGACAGGTCACCTATGAGTCCACCGGTTTCCTGGAAAAGAATATCGATAATCTCAGTGCTGATTTTGTCTCGTTCTTCCGCAACACCGGTGGGGAGATTGCCCCCTCCAGCAACAGTTTCCTCACCGGCCTCTTCACCGACAAAGTTTTTTCGACCGAATCTCATCCTCGAAATGACAACACAATTATTTCTGCCCAGCATTCCGTTAAGCCCATGCGTGCCCCTTCCATGCGTCGTAAGAAAGAGAAACCTGCATCGGACGAATCTTCGGCACCGAAGATTACATGTGTCGCCGCTCAGGTGGCCTCGGCTTTAGACGAGTTGTGTGAAACCCTCGAGGAGACGCAACCTTGGTATGTCTTCTGTATTCGGCCAAATGATGCCAAACTGCCGAACCAGTTTGATCAGAGGGCGGTGAGTCCTCAGATTAAATCATTCAGTTTACCAGAGATTGCAAAAAGACTTCAAGTGGAATACATTACGAGCTTCACACATGAGGAATTCCTTGAGAGGTATGCCTCCATATTAGATTCAACGGAACTGGAACGCCACGGAAATTCGAAAGCGAAGTGCGAGGCCGTATACGAAGGTTTCGGTTGGATTGTTTCGGATGCGGCGGTTGGACAGACCAAGGTCGGCACCTGTTTAGTGTTAATATATTTTTTTTCGCATCAGTTTTTTTTTATTTGCGATGTTTTTTTTTTCTTCTTCTTCTCATTCTATTGGTACCTGGCGCTGTGTTGATTCTCCTTCCCCGTTCCTCCCATCCGTCACCAGATTTATCTAAGCGAGAAATCGTGGCATAAGCTAGAGGATGGTCTTAGGAGTACGGATGGTGAAAATAAACGACGGAAAAAAGATAGAAAAGCGGCTGTGACCCCTTCACCTGACTATGCACGCAGCGAAGATCGACTCTATCAACATCAGCACCCTTCAAGCCAAGAATTACTGGAAGGACCCCGCAGACCAAAAAATTTTGACCAACAATCCTTCTACTCCGGAGACGACAACCGTTCAAACCTTTCCGAAGACGATTATTACCAGGATGAAGCTTACAGCGCTTACGACGACAACACTTCCACGTATGGATCTGAGGTTTACGCGCCGTCACGTAATATGTTCATGGAGATGGAGATGAAGAAAATGCTGCCTGAAGAGAAAGTAGTAGAAGAAGAACCGGAAGAACGCTGTGAGACCACCCCGGCTCGTAAGAAATGGTTATTCCTTACTTGGCTACTTACGTGGTGGATTCCCTCTTACTGCTTGAGTTGTTGTGGCATGAAGGTCAAGGAAGTTCAAATAGCGTGGCGTGAAAAGGTCGCATTGTGTATTATCATCTTATTTATGTCGTGTGTGGTGATATTTGTCCTTGCGTTCCTGGGCTTATTGATTTGTCCACGAGTGTACGTCTACAATTCTTCTGAATTGCAAGCCCACAATAATCAAGATGCTCCGGATAGTACCTACGTGGCGATTCGTGGTTGGGTCTTCTTACTGAGTTCATTCGCTCCCCGTCATTACCCCTCGCTGGTCGATCAAAAATCGATCCTGGCCTATGGCGGAACGGATGCCACTAATCTGTTTCCCGTCCAAGTTAGTGCCCTTTGTCGTGGAACACAAGGATTTGTCGACCCCTCTGTCACCTTTGATTATAATGCCAATACCACAACCGATCCAAATGCACAGTATCACGATTTCCGTTACTTCACCGATGACTACCAACCCGACTGGTACTTTGAAAATATTATGATGGTGATGAAGTCGAATTATCTTGTTGGTCAGATGGCAATTTCCCCTCAAAACGTCATGGACATGGCCATCGTTAACCATAAGCAGATTGCAATTCTACACGACAATGTATATGACCTTACCCCCTACGTCACCGGCGGCCGTTCCGCCTACGAGCCGGGCAATGTGCCGGCTCCATCGGATGTGAACAAGGATTTCATGCTAAACACCATAGTTGATCTCTTTACAACCAATAG